TACAGTACCTGTGTCAAGTCCTTGTATCAAGCCTCTCTTTGAGGCTAGACCGGAAGTTACATTTAACACTATCCAGATCTTCCTAAGGAAGATACAGGAATTATACACTCTCTTTGAACCCTGCAGAGAGATATTACACTATAATACAGGAGGAGGAGAAATTTAGTTCAGAATCCAGATCTGCAAATTATACATTTGTGATTCACCAAAACATATTCTTCTAATGAACTATTTTTAAATGTTTTGTTTGTTTAGCCCATATAGCAAAATACAGTCTTGTCAGTCAAGACAGACTTCAAACTGCTTCAGCCCGTTAGAAACGTTTCATTAATAACATGTGTTTACCATTGAGAGAAGTAGGCTTCGTGTGCTAAGATTTTGTTTGTCAGTCATTCATTGGAACCCCACTGTTAATAGCATACAATGGTTTGTGGTTATGCCACAATTTAACCCAGGTTTAAAAATACAAACTAGAGCCCTGGTGGTCTAGAAGGAACAGGGAGTAAGTGAAGGATTGGCTCAACCTGCTTTGTGGGCTAGTGGCTTGGAATGCTTTACAAACTAATCAAATTTATTGACTATGATCCTGAAAAAAAAAAAAAATCACATGCTGGGGTGTGCATCCTGGTTTGACTGCAGTTTGGTGAGGTTCTGAATGTCTGAAGGGGGAAACAAGGCAACTATTTGGCATTCCTTTCCCCAAAGACAAATTAGAAACAGATATCACAGAATATGAGATTTTTCTTCAGCAGCCTAATAAGAAAAAGAGATTTTCCTCTACAGTTGTAATTCTATTGTATGTTAAGTATAGGGAAACAGAATTAGTATGGCGTTAGGCTGAATAGGTAATCACAATTCTATTAATTCAGTAATTTGGGCATCAAGCTTCTAAATACAGCAGATTAAAAAAAGGTTTTGCATGTAATATCAGTTTACCTTAATAGGACTGTCTGAAGAGGACTTGGGATTATACGTGCTAGCTGTATTTCATGTATAGCATACATACAACCTGAGGAGAAAAATTTACATTTTACACAGGTCTGTGTGTAATGTCCATTTAAAATACAATAAAACATAGTATCTACAATAATCGGAAGAAGATGCCTTTGTGTTTAATAAGCACCTCAGTTGTGCGGAAGCAAAATGAAGCACAAATAGTGGCTATATAATTTGTTTATGAAATCTCATAGTCCTAGAAATTACACCAGGATCCTGAACATTTGTGAAATTGTATATCACATGTGCCTAAAACCAATTTTCCAGTTGCTTGCAATTTATACTTTTAAAATATTTGTAATTCAAAATAAAATAGATCACATTCAGAGAAAATGTAACCCATAAAATACTATGTTAGGTAGTCATTATCTCTTTACGCATTCCTGGAGGAAGATTTAGTAATTTAAAACATTTTAATGATTTCAGTTTGTTTTCCTTTCTTTATATCACTTTTTATTTAAGAACATATCTAGAGAAAAAAACTTTACTATTAAAAGAGTCATTTTCAAAGTTCCAAGTACTTAGAAAGTGAAGGATTATAAGAGACAACATCTGTTAAACTCATATATTACATTTTCAAAAGCTAAAGCTGGTATTCACTTAGTCCACAAGTATACAGTGTGCATATACTCTATGTGCAGCAATATGTCAGGGACAACGAAGGCCATAAAGATGAATAAAAACAGATCTACCTTTGAGGAGCTAGTATACAAACAATGGTTCTTAAATTCTTCAGTGTCTGACAGAGTAACATTTCAATCTCTCATTTTTACATGATTCTTAATTTAGTATTTCTTAATGCAAAATCATGATTTTGCATGATTCTTAGAAATATTTCCTATGATACTGTTGTTTTAGTAGGACTTTGCATATAACCAACTTTTTCTATAATTAACTACGATGAAAACATAAAAAGGACACAAATATATTTTGGGTAATTGGACCTTTCTCCAGGAAACATGGGAGTCAACACAGCCAGATGATGAACCTGGAGGCTGCTGAAGATGCTAAGCAGCAAAAGGACCTTTGACGTCCAGGCTGAAGGGGAAGCTTCCAGAAACTGTGTCCTCTGCTTAAACTCTGACCAGACCACAAATGCAGTCCACTTTAATCTTTACTTCTAGCTGGTCTACCATAAAACAGCATTTTGAGGTTGTGAAATATTTAATAATATGACAGGAATTTATTTTGTCTTATGAGGAAAATAATCTTTCACCAAATTACTTTAGAGCCAAGATTTTTTAAAATATGCCTTATTTGCAAGATTTCACATAGTAAATTCAATTTGCCGAGGAATCTCCATTCATTCACGTAATTACACAGAGAACGTAATTTCTTTGTTTGCTTGTTTGCTTCTTCCAACATAAATCTTACACTGGATTTTTAATTCTAGCATTAAATGTTAGATATTAAAATAATACCATCTCATGCCCTAATTTTCTTTAAATAAAAATGTCACTGATTATAGAATCTTACAACTCAGGGCCTGAGAAAATTCTTAAAATAATACCTTTCAGTGCCATCCTCACTGTGCTGTTGAAAACTGAAAATTGATTTTCTGATTGATTATTTTCAGAACACTGATGGTTTCCTGAAGGAACCTGTGGCTAGTGTCAATTTTACATTGATATTATACAGTACTCTTATTATTCTAACCATTTTTGCTAATATTTTCACATTGTTTCAATCAACAGATGGTAATTTCTATGACACTCTGAGGGTAACTGTTGTTTTTCCAACATTGCAATTACAAAGGGAAAGTTGAAAAAATATATTAAGGCTTCTAGGAGTTTGATTCAAACAGCTCAATAGTGCTGGGAATCCCAATCTTTCTGTTCATGGAACTGGATCACCATTTAAAGCTTAATCTAGCATTGTTCTTGCCTTGCAGCTTTGCCTAATTAAATTAAAAACATCCATTCATCAAAAGACATTAAAAGAATAAAAGGGCAAACTACAAAGTGGAAAATTTTATATATATATAATGTATGTTACATATAGAGTACCAAAAACATTCGTATCTAGCACATATAAAGAACTCTGGCAAATCAACAGGAAAAATGCAGACAACTCAATAGAGGAATAGGTAAAACACTTGAACAGGTACTTCATAAAGAAAGACATTCAAATGGCCAATAAACATACTTCCATATTGTCAAGTTCATTAGCCATCAGGGAAATGTAAATTAAACCACAATGAAATACCACTAAACAATAAAGACAAAAAATTCCAAGTTGGCAAAGATACAAAGCAACTTAAATCTTAATGCGCAACTGGTAGTGATGTGGATTGATACAACCATGTTGGAAAAAAACTGGCAGTATCAACGAATCTTTAGTTATACATACATACATATTCAAAAAAATATATATTTGAGTTTACCAAAAGACTTAACTGGAATGTTTATAGCAGCACTTTTGTAATAGCTCCAAACAAAACTGGAAACTATCAAGATGTCTACCAACAGTAGAGTGTATAAATAAACTGTGCCATATTTACTCAATAGATTTTATAATACATCTGTGAGAATGAACAGTCTACAAGCATATGCAACAATTGGATAAATCTTGCAAACAAAATATTCAACAAAAAATGTCAGGCACAAAAGAATACCTAATGTATTCATGTAAATTACGCACAGAGTAATTGGCTTAATTAATTTACAAAATCGAGCTATACTGTTAGAAGTCAAAATAATGACTAATCTTTTGACTAGAAAGGAGCATAAGAAAGTTTCAAGGGTGTTGGTTATGTTGAGTTGCTTGTTTGTTTGTTTTGTCTGTTTTATATGGTTGTCAGTTTCAGAGGTCTGTTCAGTTTGTGAAAAATTCATCCAGGTGTGCTTAAGATAAACATACATTTGAATATGTATTTTTATATCCATTAGTTTTTATAATAACTTTGTCTCTTCATATTGCTTAGGAAAATAGTTGTGATATATCTTGTAGGTATCAAAGTAATAATCATGAAAAACAAACTTGATCACTAACAAAATGAAACATATAGACATCTATTTCATTTCTTCTTTAGCCAGCTTGCTTCCTTCCTTTCTTGCTTTTATTTATTTACGTAGTGAAAAGGAGCCATTAAACACACTTTGTCTAATTTTTGGAAACAACGTGGTACCAACTCTCCTAGGGAGATAGTGTAGTTAGCTAGACCTTCATATACTGGCTGCTGTTTAAAACCAAGGCAGACATGAAAGTAGATCCTCGTGGTGAAGGATATGACAAAGGAGAAGCAGGGCTGAAATATAAATATTTTCTACCTGTTTCTACTCCTTGACAAGGAGATGAGACTAACATCCTTATTCCATAAAAAATCCTGAGCACCTTAACACAGGAAATCTACCAAGTTAATGCTTTCTAACTCAACAGACCTACTTAATCTACTCTGCACAAAGATAAGTAATAATGCACTGAACGGCAAGGCATAAAAAGTTAGCATTTTTTTACAAGTTTTATAACAAAAGCAATTGTGTGGAACATCTACTACTCTATCATTATTTAACCTGCTAATGGATTTCATGAACACCCAAATAGCTAAATCCAATGTCTCAATCACGTTTCAGGGAAAGACATTCATATGTCTTTAATCCCTGGAGGTACTGACAGAATGTTGTGGTGATGAATGTTGGTTTGGCGTGATTAAAGATTTCATACTGGCTTTAAATGTCTTTATCCACAAATTCCTCTCACTTAGCTCTTTTGAGTGGTTAAGTAGAGACCTGTTTCTACACCCAAAAGTCAAAATAATAGTACTGATTTAGCAAAAAAAGATCTTACTCTTTTAAGAATAAACCTAGAAGTTAAAAATTAGGAAAATAAAAAGTATCTTTGACATTTCTTGTATTCCAAAATTTCTACAAACATCCTCTTCTCCTAAAATGTTACTCAGCTATTGCAGAAATGTAGGTGACACTAACACAAGAAAAATAAATCCAAAAATTGCAGTGACTTGACATAATAAGAGTTTATTTTTCACTTATTTGAAATGTTGGTGTTCCACCTAGGGATGGTGACTGATCTTCTTCCACATGGTGATTCAGAGACCTAGGATCCTTCCATTAGATCCACCACCGCAGGACCTGATCTCCATTATCCACAATAAGCTGCGGGAAAGGGAAACAGTGTAAAAGACATGTCTTCTTCTTAAAAGCCATCCATGAAATGAACCATACACCTTGTGCTCATAATCCATCATAGATAACTAAACGTATGGCTGCCTCAAGATGCAAAGAGAAGGGCTTGGAAAATGTGGCCATCTGTGCCATAACTGTCTTCACCCAAACATCAATAGTGAATTTTAATATCAGACAAGGTGATATGGAAATTAAGACTTGATATTCCAGCTAAATATGGACGAGGAAGTACCTCAGGGGAAGGCAGAGGTTAGAATAAGAAATTTGTGGCTGATTATGATTGTTATCCTCGACTTAAGACCAGATGAAATACAACATATTCATTAATATGAACCCAACAAGTATTCATAGAACATCTATTAAATGCCAGGCATGGACTTTGGCTCTATGGATAGGACAGTAAACAAAATATACAAACTCCCTGTCCCTATGAAGCATATATATATATATATATATGGTTTTTTTTTTTTTTTTTTTTTGAGACGGAGTCTCGTCCTGTCTCCCAGGCTGGAGTGCGGTGGCGCTATCTCCGCTCCCTACAAGCTCCGCCCCCCGGGTTCACGCCATTCTCCTGCCTCAGCCTCCCGAGTAGCTGGGACTACAGGCGCCCGCCACCTCGCACGGCTAATTTTTTTGTATTTTTAGTAGAAATGGGGTTTCACCATGTTAGCCAGGATGGTCCCTATCTCCTGACCTCGTGATCCACCCGTCTCAGCCTCCCAAAGTGCTGGGATTACAGGCCTGAGCCACCGCGCCCGGCAGAAGCAAACACATTAAAGCAGGAATCAAAAAATTAGCAAATACACAAATAGATATATTTAGTGTCATGTAGGAATACGGGCTATGATGAAAAGTAAAAGTAAGGGGATTGTGAATGACAGAAGTCATATTTTTCAATGGGAAGGTCAGGCAGGTGAGGGAGTAGCTGGGTGGGATACCTAGGTGAAAAGCAAGGCCCTCAAGTGAAAGCAAGTTTGACCTTTCCAAGGAACAGCGGAGTCACTGATTCCATTTTAATAGTGCTGCATAGGCCAATTCATGCAGGGCTCTAAGGAAAGAAGCATGGGAAGTGAAAGGAGGATGGATTTTAGTGCTAAAAGACATGATTCAAAAATAGAGTCTGCCACTTACCTCTGGAATTATTTTTTAGCAAATCATTTGACCTCTGATTTTTTCATTAGCAAAATGAATATACCTACCTCACTGAATTGTGGCGAGGTTTATATGAGATAACACACATAAGTCATTACTACTACATAGCACACAGCAGACATTCATTAAATATTAATCATTCATCCTTTTACACATAGTCCTGAGGTAGTGAGTTTAGGAAAAATCTCGTTTGCCTCTTTTCATTCTTTCTCTAGATGGGAAGCTTTTATGTCTATCCATCATGAATTTATGAAATTATTTTCCTATCTCAGAGAGCTGGTCTTGCTTCACAATGATGAAGATGATGACAAGCAGAGAGTGATCAGCTATTCTAGAAGATAGAGATTAACACAGACATCCACTCATTTGTGGACTTTTCATTTATAGTTTACATCGTGTTTATACATTTCATAATTTGGTTGGGAAAAGCCGGAAGTTCATGCTATGACCCACAGTTTCAAGGTCGAACTTGTAAGTCAGCCACCTCTCCCATCTCATTCCATCTGTTCTCATTATTCATTCACTTAATTTAAGGGCAGGCTGTGGTCATTTGGAGAAGCATTGGTGAAAGATAAGATCATGCAGTTACTTTTTCTTCTTGCACTGACCTTTATGGATTCTGTGACTTGAACATGGCCGAGAAATTTCTGCATTCCTTGGTACATCAGTTTGGTTTGGTTTAGTCTAAATACATAACTAAAAGCCCTACTGTGTTCCCACTGAAACAGATCTGTATTAGACCACACACCAAGGTCCGAATCACTTGGTGTGCATTGCTTCACATGCTATTTTGAGAGAACACAAACACTTCCCTTTTCTTTTTTTTTTTTTTTTTTTTTTTTTTGAGATGGAGTCTCACTCTGTTGCCCAGGCTGGAGTGCAGCAGCAGGATCTCAACTCATTGCAACCTCCACCTCCCCATTTCAAGCAATCCTCCCACCACAGCCTCCTGAGTAGCTGGGATTACAGGCGCCTACCACCATGTGCAGCTAATTTTTGTATATTTAGTAGAGACGGGGTTTCACCATGTTGGCCAGGCTGGTCTAAAACTCCTGACCTCAGGTGATCCACCTGCCTTGGCCTCCCAAAGTGCTGGGATTACAGGCGTGAGATACAGTGCCCGGCCACGCTTTCCCTTTAGAATCTATTCATCATCATAGTGTATGCATGTTCTAAATTTGTCTGTTTGACTTAGTCTTTTTGACAGTAATCTATTCAAACCATTTATCCCTCTTTTACAAGTCCTCAGATCCTTGGGGCAGATCTCAGCATTCTCCATCTTTAAGGAAGCCCCTAGTCACTCTCAAGAGTACAATGCACCACAAGTAATTAAACATTTAAATATTTTCTTTGCACCTGTAGTTACCTACATCCTAGAGGCCTGGTTGTAAATCTCTTCACAGTAGTTTTATCATGTGAGTAGCACTTGAGATATGTTTATAGAGTTGTTTTGCCTAGATTTTATAATCACAAATTCATCTTACTTGCTTGGAGTGAAATCAGATCTTTCTTTCTCCTTGAACATAACTTTCCTATCTCCAGGTCTCCCATGTTTCAGACACTGAAAAATATGTTGGAGCCACCTCATAGGAACAAACAGACTATCCAAGACTGTCATCATAATGGAGACATTGAGATCTCGAAAATTTGTAAGAATCCTAGCACATTTCTGACCTCTGTGATGGCAAGAGCCCATTCTCAGAAAAGAAAGTGATGTTGTTTCCTAGAGAATAGCTTACATTTCATTCATCAGGAAAGCCCTGTCCAGCTGCTTTCCTCTCTCTAGCAGCTCCCTTCAAGCTTTGCCCCTTCTCTTGCATCTTGCTTCAAGCAAATCCACGCAAAGATGCTTTCAGGAACATCTGCGCTCTCTCATGCGGGAAGACAAGCAGAGCGGACATCCTGCAGAAGGAAATACCAGTAAACATTAAAACACCAGGAAAGATCTTTGTTGAGGTATCTATAGACACTGCTGAGGACTAAATGAATTCACAAATATGCCCCACTCCATGTAGCAGGCTACTGAAACCCAATGAATGCTGCAGAAAACCATATTGCTTTTCACATCTCCAAATGCCAACCTCCACTGTGCTAAGGCAGGGCCTAGATTTCATGGTGCAAATGAAAAATAAACATTTGCACCAACTTCTCTTTCCAAAAACACCTTTAAATTCCTCATGAATCTTGGACTGCAGTACAGTTGACTAAGAAAGTATTGTGCTTTAAATACTTATTATTTAATAAATATCTTCTAAAAATCAATGAATTTCAGAGTTCAAACGTTACCTTGGAGAATATTTAGCCTTGGCACATAGTACCTTTTTATAAAGTGGGCAAACTGAATAGCAAAAAATTTTTAATGATCATCAACCTAGGGGCTTAGCTATTATGTTTTAATATAATTTGTATATTGTCTACATATAGGATTAAAAAGAAGTCAAATTATAATCTCTTGGTCCTAAGCTTAACTAGTTATATTAAATTAGTAAAATACTTCAGTATTTTTTTAGTACAGGACTTGAATTTTATTGGACATCTTCATACTCAATGTAAAAGTAATTAGAATTAATAATTCAATCTGTTTTCTAAGCTTCTTTAACATTTAGAAAGAACATAATAAATAAAGTACATTCTAGTCATAAAATTCTTATGAAATATCAAAGACTATAGAAAAAAATTGAAACAAACTGTAGTCATGCAACCAATATAAGCATAGTTAAAATTCTGGTATGCTTACATTGTCTTCTTTGCATTTTTTGAATAATTAAGCTACACATATATTATTTATTTTGCTCAGTTAACACTTTATCAAAAGCATTGACTTACTGCGGTAGCCAGAGTCCAAGATGTCCCTGAATGATTCCTGCCTCCTAGTATTCACACCCTTGTGAGAAGTGGACACTGATTTAAATGTGGCTCCTCCCATGTTGCACGAGGATTGGTCTGTGAGATCAACAGGCTGTAACTGGCAGTGGCTTCCATAGTGGGTTCTCTGTCCCATCTCTCACTCTCTCACTCTCAGTGAAACAGCCTGTCATGTTGTGAGGAGCACTACGACAAGGGTCTCATGGTGAGGAACTGAAGCCTCCAGCCAACAGCCATGAAGCCTGCCAAAAACTACATGCATGAGTTTGGAAATGGCTTCTCCAGCCCCAGTCAAGCCTTGATAAAACCATAACCCTGGTCAATAACTTGACTAAAATCTCAGGAGGCATGCTGAGCCAGAACCACCCAATCCTGAGAAATTGGGTAAGATAATATATGTGTGTTGTTTTAATTTAATATGTTTTGATGCAATTAGTTGTGCAGCAAGAGAAAACTGAAGCACTCACATATTTAAAGACTCTTCATGAAAACTATTTTTAATGGTTGGCTAATAGTCTGTTCTACAGATATATCATGATTTATTTTACTATTCTATTATTGGATTTCCAGGTTGATTTCAGTGTTTTGCTCCTTTAATTATTGCAGTATACATGTTTGTGTATATTGTCTACATATAGGATTAGCTTCATAGCATCTTAGAAGTAAAATTATTAAATAAAATATTAATATGTTAAGGTTCTTGATATTTATTACCATATTGTTTTCCAAATGTATTGTACTAATAATGAGTAGTCCCAAAGAGTTAAATTTTATTGCTCACAAAAGGCAGATCTATGACATGACTAAATTGTATCTGTTTATATCACAAACTGTCCTTGATACATAGTGCTCTGTATTTGATTGCCTCTTATTTTAAATGCTAGTCTAAAAAATAACTAGATGTTTCCCTCCATTTGCTTACTGGTTATACGCGATGATTCAGCCTGTTCAATACCAACTTATGGTTTTCCCTTTATATCTGTTCTCTTCCTGTTTCCTTCTTATCTCAGAAAATAGCACCACCATCCTCCCAGTCTACAGTCTACTAATCCAGAAACCTGAGAGTCATCTTAGACCAGCCCCTTCATCACACTCTTACATACACTCTACCCCATATCTTTACTCCTCCCTCTCCTCTCAGACCCCATTGCTACTGCTTCAGTATCAGCAGTATCAGGACAAAATATGCCCTGAAGGAAAAGAATCATTCCATTCCATTCCACCTCTCTCAGAACATGTCTTCTACAGTATAGTTGGGCTTTTATTTTACCTTCTACTAGGAAACCCCATACCTACCCCCATAGATTTCATCATAGATGTGGCACAGGCTGCAGGACTGAAGACAAACTCAGACAGCAGCAAAGTGTAGGCAATGGGGAAGAGTGACAGATTGATGATGACACATCCTTTTCCCATGCCTTTCAGTAGTTGCATGCATTGGAGCATTTTGGTGTTTTGTGGAAGAAAGACAGTAGTTATACCAGAAAATAAAGTTAATTCTTTGTGAATTACTATACATGTTTTTCTTTGAGAGAAATGGACACTGACTTAAATGTGGCTTTGCATTAACTAGTAGAATTATCATATCAATTCCTGGCCATCTACTTTATTGGCTGTAGCTCCTGAAAAGAACTAAATGCAGGTCAAATACAGGTTTAAATGTATTTTACAGATATTTACTGAAATATAACATGCTTAATGCAGCACCCCTGGCTGACTAATGCAAAATAGAATAAAGTAAATTTTAAAAGAATGCCTTCTCTAGAGCTAAAAACAAATAATATGTTTAAGTTCTATTGGCACAAAGACAATAGTCGCAATTCAAAAGATGCAGCTTCTGGAGGCTGTTTCTACTTAGCCTAATGTAACGACTATTTGAAGAGACATTGAAAAAGCATATCAGAGTAAGATTCCCATTTTGTTTGGTTCTTGTTATCTAAGCAGTCATTTTTCACTCCCGGTTAAAGTTAGCACAGAACATTCTTCAGGACAGCCCCTGCATTCCTAACATATTTCCACAAAAGGCCCCTTGGTTGCAGGCCCCTATCTATGTGATAGAGTATTTCTGTGAGTATTTTATTTTAAAATATTATTCAAGGTCATAGCTACTTGTTGTATCAGAGTGCTAAAACCTTTACATACAGTTTCTCATTTCAGCCTCATACCCACACTGCAAGGTATTCCTGATTATTACCCTCTTCCAGGTGAAGAAATTGAAGCTTGTCATTTGAACAAGTTGACCAAGGTCACAGAGAGACAGAAAGAGGCTGGTTTGACTTCATAGTAAGATCTCTAAGCCTAGATGCTGTTTCTTCTCTTGTGGCTTGTTGCCTAGTAATCGTGTATCACATTGACTTATGATCTTGATTCTTCTATGATGTCTTCTAGGACTTCAAACAAGTCACTGCATATTAGGGCCCTGATTTATGAAGAAATGTCTTCACAGAGTATTAACTTGGATTTAGCGAATTCTAGTTGCTTCCTGCTCACAGGAGAGGACTGTATATAATATAGTCTGTGCTCTTGTGCATACACACTCAGTCCCTATTTTTAGTGCCCCCACAGGTATATACAACACTGTTTTTAGCAGGGAACTGAATTATTAGGGTCTAACCCTCCAGGGGTGTCAGCATTTACCAGGATGGATGTATGACTTAGTCCACATGAGCTGAAGTTTTACTACACACATGGGAACTTCAGGAATAGCTTCCTGCTCCTTGAAAGTGTATCTTCAACCCAAACAGCCTTTTCCAGGACTATTTCGTGGTATTTGTCTAATTATAGGTGTTGAATAACAGTGTCCTTCAAACTAAACTACATTTTGAAATGAATTTTCATGCTTTAAACTAATGAAAGTCACAGTCCATGTTCAGTCATTCCTATGGTAGACTGTCCCAGTGCCCTTGTTTTTCGTCTCTCCTTTCTTTCTCTTGCCCTCCCCACCCCCACCTGATATATTTTCTTCTGCAGCATTTTGGTGTCTAGAGGAAGCTAATTGGTAGTTATTCCAAATAATAAAGTTAGCTCTTTGTTAATGATCATAAAATTTTTCTTGGGGGAAAATGAATACTCTCTTAAATTTGACTTTGGATTATCTGGTAGGATTTCTATATCAGTTCTGGACAATCTATTTTGTTGGCTAAAGTTTCCTAAAAGAATAAGGGCGGCCGGCGCGGTGGCTCAAGCCTGTAATCCCAGCACTTTGGGAGGCCGAGACGGGCGGATCACGACGTCAGGAGATCGAGACCATCCCGGCTAACAGGGTGAAACCCCGTCTCTACTAAAAAATACAAAAAGCTAGCCGGGCGAGGTGGCGGGCGCCTGTAGTCCCAGTTACTCGGGAGGCTGAGGCAGGAGAATGGCGGGAACCCGGAAGGCGGAGCTTGCAGTGAGCTGAGATCCGGCCACTGCACTCCAGCCTGGGCGACAGAGCGAGACTCCGTCTCAAAAAAAAAAAAAAAAAAAAAGAATAAGGGCATATAAAATACAAGTTTAAAATAACATTAATAAAGTCTAATACTTGAGTAGCACTTTGTGGTTTTCAAAGCACTTTTATAAATATTAAGTCATTTAATCCTACAGCAACCTTCTGTGGAAGGAAACAAACTTTCATTAAACATTTATTTCAAGCTAGATATTATGTCAGTGCTTTGCCTTTACACTCTGACTTAATCTTCATGACAGTCCTTTCCAGCATGCATTATCCCCATTTCGTAAATGATGAAATTAAAGCTCAAATAAATTAAACTTCTTATCTAATATCACACAGCTTTAGGGCTTCTGCTGAGAATATTGAGACCCCAAATCCAGGGTCTGCACCTGACATTCCAACCTGCTAGGGTGGTTTCCAGTGTCATCCCCAAAGAACACAGTCAAAGCCATGGGAGCCTTAGCCTGTACATATGTCTCATTCTATAGTAACAGTTTGCATAGAGGAAGCTTATACATTTCAATCTATATCACTGTTATGTCTCAAAATCCTCTTCTTTAAAGTTTATTTCCTCAACTTCTTAATTTTATACATATATATGTATAAAATATATATGTATATATGTATTTTTATATTTGTATAAATTGTATGTATTTATATATAATTATATATTATACATATAAATATATATGTATAAATATTATATATTTATATATATGTATAAAATTAAGAAGTTGTGCAGTATAAATGTATAAAATGTATACAATGTATAAAATGAAGAACTGGTGCAGGAATGAGACATTTTGTCTCCAGATCCATGGAGAGTTTTTATTCTGCTCCAAAATGGTTTGCAGGACCACAGTTGGTAACTCAACTGTAACAGTTCTTATGTGAATCACTGGTCAGATTATATGTCCAAAAACAATATTAGATTTGTAATTTGACAGGGTCAGACTTGCTCCAAAGAGAATTTAGCCCTTCTAGATGACTTGAAATGTAATTCAAATTGTTGCTTCTTTCTAGAATAGGGCTGAAATAGTAACGTGTACTGACCTCAGGACTCCCTGCTGTTGATCTGATATAACACAGATTTGCTACTTTCTTTAATAGAGGGAAGTTCCAGTTTGTAGACTTAAAAGAAGAGAATAACTAGGTAAGTGAGGTATCATGAAAGAGATAAATGATAACTGGCCGGGCTGAATTTTAAAATCTCTCAACCAAGAAGTTTTTTCTCTTAATTCTCTTTATGACACATTTTATAAATGATACATCCATGATTCTATTTCTGTTCCAAATAATAAATTCATACACATACATGCACATTTATGTGTGTGCATGTGTATATGTACTTTATTATTAAATAGTGAAGTTCGCTTCATGATAAAAAACAGCTCCATAAATCTAAAGCATGATAAGGGTGAAACAAAATTAATGAATGTTTGAGATGTGGGTCTGAATCATTTTATAAATACAAATGTGAATCCTAGTTTCCAGTAGATTTTGAAATACATAGTCTATAACATTCCATAAGAGATTCAGCTTTCAGATATAAAATGTCATATATCGTAATTCCTATATATTTCCTTTAAGTGAATGGCTATTTCATAG